CTAAATGGGACAAATATTGTTTGAGGACAACGAGATCGTGATCAAGTCTTTGGTGGAATTCTTCAAGTTTAATTTCTTGATTTCAAGGTTGTGATTTGTTGCTGCATATTTTGGTTAGTTTCTTCTCGAACATGGTGGTGTCTCCAACAAAGACAACCACCACTCCATGTCCAACTCTCCTAGTAAAATCTCTTCACTTAATTGTTGGGTCTGCCAATGGGGGTATTTCACAGTGGGTTTGCTGCTTAATCATAAAAATTATCAAAATAACAACGTTAGTCGTTAATTTATTTATTTTCTTGAAATTAATTTTTTCAATTTCTTGTAAGGTATTCATTCAATTAAGTTTCGGGTTTACTTGTACATTGTTCTATTCTCCTATGTTTTGGAGTGTTTCTATAGAATTGGGTTGATAGTCCAATGAATATCTAAGGTAGTTTGATATTTCCTTCATACCTAGGTTGTTTGATGCTGTCAGATATCATAGTGGGGTTTTCCTCTATCCTTCAAGTGTAGCGCTCGTGATATCGTGTTATCTTATAGGTTACGTGAAATTCAATGGTTTTTTTTTTTTGACTAATTTGGCAGAAACATGCAAAAAAATATTGGAGAGAGAAGAAAATTTATTAGTTTCTTAATATAATTGTTTATCATTTTTCCTAGCTTTACTAATATTCGCTCCCAGAAAATTCTGAGGCTTCTTCCTTCTCTAGAAACTCCCATTGGAAACTTCTGTTGTAAAATGTTTTAATCTCATTACCGTTTAAAACGAGGACATAATATGTATTGCCAATTTCTGTCTTCCTATCTTTCTAACAGTATATAAAATATTATGAATGTTAATTGGATTAGTTGGAAATTTTCTTATATGATTGTGCTAATTTCCTTTTATCTTTGGTTGGAATTTTGTTCGAGAATAATTTAAGAACTAGAAAAAGAATGTCTTATTGTTTGTCTTTTTAATTTTTGCGGCCAACTACTGCCTTGTGATCAGGGAAGGATTTAGGGGGGGGCCCAAAAAAAAAAATTTTTTTTTTACTTGGGGAAAAAAAATATTTATGTAAAAAAAAAAATTTCATGTGTGATTTTTTTTTTTTTTACGTATTAGCCCCCCCTGTCGTCCGATACTGGATCCGTCCCTGCTTGTGATGCT